CTTATCATCCCGTCTGGACATATATCGACGAGTAAAATAACACTGCAAGTCGAGCACCCGGTTTCTGAAACCAGCAAAGGGGGTGCTCATCGAGGACCTACACTAGAAAAAGGACAGAAACACACAGGTCCCGGGAAACACTGCAAAGAAAGCTAGCAGAAGGATTATACACAACCACCAGCGCATTAAATACACACACAAATGGATCATACTCACACACCATGGTTCCCGCGTCGGAGCCCCGTCCGAAGAAGCCTCTGGTCCGGACCATCAGTAAGGTGGTCACTATGAAGCCATAGAACCAACCAAGCATCATAGGTCCAGCATAGGAGACTGTAATGCAGGAAATTCCCACCTAACCTCGGTCAGGTGGAGAGATGGTGGTTACAAGGGAATTAGGAAGGGGAAGATAAGGGCAGATGTAAGACACCCAAAGGAAATGAGTAGATACTGAGGTATCACTCTGATCTGGACAAAGCGCTGACGCCCTTTCTGGATCACATCCCTTAGGACTTTGCCTACCTTCATTTGACCCGTGATTATTCCTACCCCTACCCACGGGCGGGGGAGGAGTGTGAGCCGCCACACTAGCCTTCTGTGCCTGTCTCTGATCCTCAAACCGAGACGGGCCAGGACCCCTTGGGTTGTTCGGGCTCAGACCTGGACCTTCGTAAAGGCCGCTGAGCGCGCCTTTGCCCGCACTCAGCTACCTCATTAGGAGAAAGGCCCTCGCCTTTATCCAGGTCTTTCAGTAGGCCAGCCTGATATGCTTGGGGCATCACCATCGTGTGCAATAAAGCGACAGCCCGACCTGCTGCTGTTGCTGCTGCGTATGCCCTGGCATTAGAGCGAGATGTCAAGGAGGGAGTCTTAAAAGAGGACGTCTCATCCATAGAGAGATAGCTGGCCAGCGTCTCTCTATAGGGGCATCTTCTAATAACCGCTTTCGCGCATCGCCTCAATGTTACCATAACTCGTACGCTGGAATCGATGGATGCGTGAGGAAAAAACTGGAGAACTGGGAAAGCTCAGCCTCAGCTTTTTGCTCTCCTCAGACATTTTCCTGCTTTCCAGCAGAGCACTGGCCCCTGGATCAGACAATGTTAATGAAATAACATCATCCTCCAGCGGCTCACTCTCATCCACAGCCGACGATTGCGAGAAGGAAAACCCCTCTTCAAACTCATTGGCCAGATCCACATGCGATCCCCACGAGCTCATTCTCCTCCGTGCCTCAGCAGCGGCGGATCCTGAATCGCGGGAAGCAGATGGCTGCCCCTCTTTCCTTGAAAAGAGACAAACGAGAGCTGAGCTTTTTCCTTGGAAAAACGCTCGCGGTGCATGCCGATT